GGGCCCCCGCCGGCCCCCGCCCTCTGCTCTGTTTGCTCACAGGCTGCTCTTTGTCCCGGGCTGGCAGCGCCGGAGGGATCCTGCCCGAGAGGGAAGGGAGGCAGCGGGGAGGAGGAGAGCTGTCAGCACCCAGCTGGTGCCAAGCGGTTCATTTACGCCCATCACGGTGGTATCCGGCTTCCCCACCACACTCCTACTACCAGGATGGGTGGGAGACCTGCCAGCCCCGGCCCCTTCCTGGGATATCAAGCTGCCACCTCACACTGTCCCCTCGAGGTGACACCAGAACCCACCTGTCCCACCACGGAGGCTCGTCCCTCAGGGATGAGCACACCCACAAGGGACCGAGGCCACCGAGCGGGTCACAAGGTGTGTGACGACCCCCACGGCCACCCAACCCGGCTCCCTCTGTCCCAGCACCAACCGAGCCACCTCCCGCTGCCACCCCACCGCAGGGTTTTGCCCAGCGCGGCTGGGAACCCACCGGGGGAACCCACAACAAAGCCTCGGGGCACCATCCTGCCCCGAGAGCCAGCGACTGGGAGAGCAAACACGGAGCTGGGGGGTGAAGGTTATCGGCGCTGGGTTTCACTGGGATGTGGCCCAGCAGAGCGAGAGCTGCCAGCACCTTCTGCCAGCTCCGAGGGCCAAGCTCTGTCTGCTGGAGAGCGTCGTGGGGGTAAATATTAACCCAAACGCACGGCTCCGCGCCGATCGGGATTTATTTTTTCCAAGCTCTGACAGGCAGCTGCGGGGGGAACAGGGAGCAGCACCCGCCGGTGCCCCCCCCAAACACACAGGCTGAGGGGTTGGGGTCCCATAGTGCGCTGGTGTCAACACACAGGGCCAGCCCCGAACGCCGGTGACACGGTGGTGACATTAAAGCTGCAATTCAATAAGTTACTGCACAGACTGGTGACATTAAAGCCGCGGTTCAATAAGTTATGGCACAGACAGAGCACGCCGCAGGGTTCTAGGTGAAACACGAGGCACCGGCAGGACACGGGCAGGGGGTTCGCTGGGGTCTTTCCTGGTCCCTCCATCATCATTCACGTGATGAATTAACCACCAGCAGCACTGGGAGCCGTCGCTCCCCACGGGCTGGCGAGGGGGAGCAGCTGGTCTCTGGGACCCACGGGGAAGCGAAGGGAGAGGAGGGTCTCTGGGGCTGGATAGGGGCCCCCCACCAGCACGTGGTCCTCCCGGGGAAGGGTAAAACGAGACCAGCCCCATTTCCCGGGGCACAACAGGGGACAGGTTTAGCACAGGTGACACTCCCGATCGGGCGAACGCAGCCGGAGGCACCAGCAGCCTCACGGGGCGAAGCGTTCGAAGACCCACTCGCCCTCTCCCCGGTGTGTCATGTCTCCCAGGGGGGCCGAGCCATCCCGCAGGCGGCGGAAGACGATGCGGTCGTGCAGGCGGTTGGTTTGGCCCTGCCAGAACTCCACAACGTCTGGCTGCAGGATGTAGCCCCCCCTGGCAGAAAAACAAGGGGATTTAAGTGTGTGTGTGGGTCCACTGGTGGGCAGCACCCTGCTCACAGCCCCCACAACTCACCAGTACGCCGGCTTGGGCACCACCATCTCCCTGTACCGCTCCTCCAGCTCCGTGTTCTTCTTCCTTAAATACTGCGGGGAGGGGGAAGGTGGTGAAGGCGAGGGCAGCCCTGGTTTCCTGGCCCCTCCGAACGCTGCCGTGGGGAAAGGGACGGCCGCTCACCTCCCTGTCCGGAATGACGGTGCTCTGCCGGCTGACGACGGCCCCGATCTGGCTGCTTTTGGGGCGGGAGTGGAAGTACCGCTCCGATTCCTCCTCCGGCAGCCGCTTCACCGAGCCCTCGATTCGGACCTGTGCGGGGCACCGGCTCAACGGGTGTCAAACGGGCTGCGTGGGCTCCCGAGCGAGGAATCGGTCTGTCCCCCGACTCTCACCCCCCAAAACATGGGCACTCCCTGTCCCGTCTCATCCACAGGGGCTGGGACCCATCCCAGTGTGACCCCCACCTAAATGTGTGAGCCCCAACACCCCACGCTGAGGCAGGGAGCACCCGCTGCCCGACACCGTGCTCCCTCTGCCCCCCTCGGCCCCCCCCACATGCCCAGGGAACCACGACTCACCTGCCGGTTGAGGGGTTCCCAGTAAAAGACGAGGGAAGCGAAGGGATTGGCATCCTGGGGCACAGAGAGGGGGGGAGATAGGAGAGAGCTGTCAGCAAACCAGCTTCAGAAATCAGAGATTCCCCCCCCTCCAGTTTTGCGGCGGCGGCAGGACCTGCCCGCACGCGCTGCCGGGCAGAGCCTCCATCCAACTCGCTTTTCCGAGAATCTCACCCCAGGGCAAAGGGGCTGGAAAGCTGTT